CAGCCTCCTGATGAGTCGGTGAAACTCCGACGAAACAGTTTGTCACAGCCCCTCGTTTGTTGTCCTCTTCTCTCTCTCTGCCTACGGTTTTACCGGGCAGTTCTGTTTGTGACGATATATATATGTTTGAAGATATATAAAAAGAATGATAAAAATAAATGGTTTCAGTGCCCCTCATGTTTGTTTGTTTTTTTTAATCCTTGCCTTTTGTTTCACAAAGTGCGCTCTTTTTTATGTAACAATATATTCTCCGGCGTTGCTAGCCCTCTGCTCTTGCAGATTGAGCGGCGAGCGCCGGGCCTGTACACCTAGGCACTGACCTTTTCTTGTGGAAGACAGTTTTCTCTCTTTCTTGCCTCCTACGTCGTTCTTCTTGTGTTGTTCTTTTTTCTTGGTCCTTTTTCTCTTTGCTTGTGTTGACGAACTTTCCGCATCCTTTGCAGGAGTTGTATGCCTATTTGGCTGGTGTCATGGTGAACTGAGCTGCCTCACTCTTTATTATGACATATGTTGTCACATATAGTTTGCTTGGCTGATTGTCCTTTCGGATAAGCTTGGTATCATAACCTTGTACATTTCTTCTGTGCACCCTTTACATGTGAATCCAATGTGTACATTTCATCTTGTCTACTTGTTGTGTACAGCAGTTATGTACATTCTTTTTCCTTATGTGCATGGTGTGATTGTGACGGCGGTCGTAAGGGCACAGCTTGTACCCCTTTCCCGTGCAGTGGGTATAGTTACGGCCCGCCTAAGGTTGGCCACATCCGGGCGGCTGCCCCCATGCCCACCCACCTCTTGTTCCATGTTTTTTGAGACTAATCCCTCTACGCTGGTTCATGCATGTGTCAATTCCTTGGTGACATCTCTTTATGTAGGCACTGTTGGTCTGTCGGTGCAAGGCTCATGGGATTGCTGCTGTGAGCACACTCATCGGGAGATGCAGTTTCAGATTTGAGGCGATCTCCCTCTTTGACAATGCTGCTGGTGGTGAACAACGGACAAAAAAGCCGATGGCAGGATCCCAACCTGAGCCGTTGGGCCTGAAGCCCTTTCACCTTGTGCACTCACCTCCATTTCTTTGCATTGGAAAACTGAAAAATAAAAAAATATTTGTTTCATAACTCAACAACAATGAATCTGCAGTTAAGGAATAATCAAGGGGCTTCCCCGATACTTTCCACCCCTCTCGGGAGAGTTCCTGCCACTGGCATGGCAGGTGCTATACCAAGCTTTCCTCTTGTCCTCTTGGACACTATATTCCGTTTGGTTATGCTGTCAAACCACCAGGCATCTGTTTCTCATCGCGTAGATTGGCGTGCACACCTGGAGTGGAATACTAACTTGTATTCTGCAAAAGGTTGGCGCAAGAAACAACTCTGTCATCTTAACAGTGTTGTGCAGGCAGAGCGATTTGAGTTGCAAACGTGAGGTGTTGATCAACAACCCCTTGAACCAGGCCCTTGAACCAGGTATGGACCCCCTCACTGTTTGGGAGTGATTTATGCAATTGTTCATTTACCTTCTGGTCGTTTTCATGTTGGACAGACGATGCATTCTGCACATCAACGGCTGCAAGAGCATTGGCATACCTCTTCTGCTGCGTCTCGCCATCACCATCTCTACCGTGCAATGTGTGGGCAACCAGCATTCAACTTTGCGGCTTGGCCCTTAGAATGTATTGATCCTACCCTTTGTCATACGACAGAAGGCGTTGTTGATCATGCCCTCTTCCGATGGGCTGCTTCACCCCGTGAGGGTTTCTGGTTCGGAAACTTCGAACTCTTCAACCCATCGGTTTCAATGCAGTCCTTTCAATGGCTAGACTACCGTCTCCACAACAACACTTCCGTCCTCGTTGTTGGACACAAATGGGCCCTCGTCCCTTTGTTCCCCAGCCCGCTCGCCTCCTCATGCCTCAACTCCTCCTGTTTCCCTCCCTGCCACATCTATTGCTGCTCCATCCATTCCTGTATTAGATGTTCCCTCTCACACAACACCCGTCTTACCAACACCCGTTGTTTCTCATGCTCCACCCCTTTTACCGACAACCTCAGTGTTTACCTCTCTTGCCAACACCTTCGGTTAGGTCATTTGTTGTTGATCCCCGTCAGGGTCCCGAACTTTTAATTCGCACCTCACTTCATCGCCTTCTCACTGAAGCTGTTTCAGGTAACTGGTGTTGTGTCAAGACTGATATTGAGCAATCGACACCAACATGGCGGGTACTTTGCAATGGCTGTACAACAATGTCTCCAATGTGGACATGACAGCAGACATTCGAGAACTTGAATGTGGTGTGATCCTAAAATCCCAGCATACTCGCCAACGTTACACAGCACAACCTCGTGACCCGTTTGCTGACCACATCAAGGTCGTACATGTGCATGAGGTAGTTCGTGCTACAAACTTGCATCATGTATTACAATTGCCAAAAATACTTGCATTGCACCCCGACCGTCAAGCAGCCACACATGTTGGTGTATGTGACAAAGTGATGCCACCCACACGTGTCCAATTTTGTAACTTCACTGATGTGGCCCTGAGAGTGTTACTCCTGGCATGATCTTACCCGACTCCTCAAATTGCGAATGCAGCACAGCCTTTCGTCATTGTTTTGATCTTGTCGATGGGCGTGTTGTGTCTGTTGACTAGAATATCATCTCCGATGATAGCCCTCCGCAAATTGTTTCAAGAAGGGTCGAAGTATTACCTGAATGGGGAAACTGCCGATGTGCTCCAGGCATTGGCAATTGGACTTTATGAGTACATTGCCAATTACAAAATGTTGTTGGCCGGGCATTCTCAATCTACTTCTTTCTTGTCTCTTCCTCAGAAGTCGAACAACTGGCATTCTGCAATCCTTGCACATTGTCAATCCAATGCAGCCTCGTTCTCCAATTATGTGAGCCAGCCACGTTCACTTCGTTCTATACATGCCTCTTTGCGCCATCTTCAACAACACTTTGCCATTGTCCTTGTGGACAAAACATCGCACAATTTGGCAATTTGCTGCAAGAATTGGTATCTGTTTCGTCTTTCCACCCATTTGGACTGTCCCACCTATACTCGTCCTGATGAATCCGTTGCTGATGTCCTCGACCACCATGCAGTATGGAATCACCATTGGGGCTACACCCATACTGATACCCTACCTTACCTTCACAACGTGCTGAAAGCTCACAAATCTCCTCAGCTCTTCTTAGCATTTTTGGAGTCACAACACATAACAGTGGTGTTCCCCTGCGCGCTCCCCCTCGTCCAACAATTCGCACTATTCATGAATGGCCTCCTCATAAACCATTGGCTAGCACAACGACTACTTTGTTGTATCTCAGCGCTGCTTTGCAAGCAGTGATCTCTACTCTTCATGAGAAAGATACCGAGCTCTATCAACAGGTTGGTGTTCGACGAAGGTGTATCGTTCAGAGTGCTGATGGAGTGGCAATTGGCCTGAAAAACAATTCATCGTCTCTTTGTGGCCTCTATCCTCGCACTGTTGATTTACCACAATGTACACCAACCTCCCTCATGACCGCATTCTGAATAATGTGGCAAAAGCTGTTGATGCTTATGCCCTTTGGCATACTCGCACGCATTCGCGCTGCAGTGCCCTGAACATGACTATTCGAGGACCTCTTTGTGGCCACTGGACAACGGATTCAGGTCCAGCGGACACCCTTTCCGTTTCTCAGATTCTCCAACATCTTCGCTTTATTGTACAAAACACTTTTCCGTTGATGCTTAACCACAGCCGGGGTTAAGGTGGATTATCACTTACAGTGTTATCAGTTAGGGGATTCTGCAGACTGTTGAGGGTTCAGCCTCCTGATGAGTCGGTGAAACTCCGACGAAACAGTTTGTCACAGCCTCTCGTTTGTTGTCCTCTTCTCCCTCTCTGCCTACGGTTTACCGGGCAGCTCTCTGTTTGACTATATATAATCGTTGTACGCAGGAGTTTCTGAACAGGGGGAGTTGTAAGGAAGAAGATAAAGAAAACGAATTCATGTTTTCCTTGTTTCTTTCTGTTTTTTTTTTTCTTTTCGCTTTTGCGCTCTGATATGCTTGTGACAATATGTATACCGGGTGTCGACGACCCCCGACCGGTAGGTGCCGATCGGTCTAGGGGCGCCGACGGTCGGGGTGTGCAACACTGCTTTCGGGCCATTTCTCGTATTTGTGACTGTCATGGTTGTGAAGGGGCCATGCTGATCTTCTTTCTCTGTATCGTTCCAATTTTAACTGATGTCCCGAAGGACAGCCATGCTGATCTTCTCCATATTATTTTTTGAATTCCAATTCTCGATGGATTTTCACATATACGAGTTGGCTGTCGCTGGCTTAAACCGAAAAAATGAAACACAGTTGGCTGAGCGTCTTGCATGCTTGGTTCCTTGGTTGCGTCATCTCACTTTGTCATAAATGTGGTCTGAGGGCACATTGACTGAATTTGGACGTAAGCAGCAGATACATTCAGGAAAGCGGTGGTTTAAGTCTGTGCTGGACTGAATTTGGACGTAAGCAGCAGATACATTCAGGAAAGCGGTGTTTAAGGTTGTTGATCTGAGGCAGACCAGGTTGGCAGATCAGTGTTTCTAACTGAATGAATCTGGATGTATTTCGTGTGCAGATACGTTCAGAAAAGTCGCAGAGTATGCACTGAGTCTTGCCAAATAAAGTTATCCCTCTGAGGCAGACTGTGTCACGACAGCAGCCAATGCGTTGCTAACTGAATCTGGATGTTTTTGTGTGCAGATACATCCAGCAAAGCCCGAGTGTGAGTCTGTATGAGGTAGACTGTGATGTCATTGTGTGCTTCCGACTGGATCTGGAAATGTTGGTGCTCAGATACGTCCTCTAATGGGAGTGTGGACTGTGTTGTCAAATATGCTTGGTGCCTCAAGGCAGACCATGCGGATGCCAATCTTTAAAAAAAAAAAAAAAAAAGGGGACACCAATTTGAAATTTCTGCTTCTGACTCGCCGGCGGCTGTCTGTAAATAGTGTGGATATGGGACCCGCTCCACTAGCTCTGGAAATGTGCAAAACGAGAGTGAATTTTACGCTAGAAGGTGGAAAGATACACCGCCATGATTTTTGTCTTTTGTGCATGCCGAGAGTAGTGGAGCGAGGCCCTATGTATGAGGCAGACTGTGATGTCAGTGCATGTTTCCAACTGAATCTGTGTATGCGTTTGTGTCCAGATGCATCCAGAAAAGCGTCGAGTGTGAGTATGGACTGTGTGTTGTCAAATGCGCTTGGTACCTTGATGCAGACCGTGTTGATGCCAATCTTTGAAGAGGGGGGGGTTGGGGGGGGGGGGGAAATGTGTCCGTGTTTCTGATTCGCCGCTGGCTGTGTGATTGCAGGCCTGACAAGGAATTTTTATAATTTCAACATCCCTATTTTTACGTGGCAGATCGGAGCACTTCCGATTGGAACATGGGCAGGGCCAGGTAAGGGAGATAAAGAAAACACACTATAAAGTGACTATATACATTGTATCTGCCTTCACTCATGTGACTGTTGACATGTATGTTGAACAAGAGTTCGAATAATTTTCTGCTAAAATGAGGCTAGGGGCCATCCCTGTTTTAGGTGGGGGAGGAGGAGGATGGTGGGCACGAGGAGAGGGGGGAGGGCAACGGGGGAGGCAAGCGGGTGGGTGGGGACGCAGCATACGTTCAATGTGACTGGAAACAGTGTCAAGGGAGAGACGAAAACACACTATGCATTGTGGCTGCCTGATGGGTGAATGGTTGATTCATGTAAGTGTTGGCAAATAGATCAAGAGTTCAAATCCTGTTTAGATAAAACGAGGCTAGGGGCCACTCCCTGCTTTGGGTGGGGGAAGGGGGAGGGGGAGGAGGAGGTTGGTGGTCGTGTGGAGGGGGAGAGGGCAAGGGGGAAGGTGAGGGGGGATGAGTGGGGAGGCAGAATACGTTGGATGTGACTGGTGACGGTGTGAGGGGGGGGGGGTTGGAGGGGGGGGGGGGGGGGGGGGGGGGGGGGGGGGGTTGAGGACGAGGGTGGAGAGGGTGGATGTGAGAGGGGTTAGGGAGTGGAGGGGAGGGAGGAAGCCACTGTGCTCCGGATGTTGCTGTCGACGGAATTAAGTGGCTTGCGCACTTGTCATTCACCATCTTAGGTGCAGGCCCTATTTTGATAATAACAAGGATGAACATGGCCTCGATCAATGTTAGGGAGGTGAGGGGGAAGGGTGA